AAAATGTATAAATACACACAAAACTAAACAATAAATAAAGATGCAGAGCATGCAGTCATGACTTAGGTAAAACACCTTTGCCATACAAACTGTACCTTCCTTAGACTTACGTCTATGCTCAGGTAAGTGGTATCTGGAGTTCTTAAGATAAGCACCTGTTATGTTGATCTTGAATGGGGCTTTTTCCATAGATGCCACATTTTATGTTGTTTCAGTGCTACAGTTATGCTTGTGCCTGCTCTCAAGCCCATTTAATTCAGTGTCCAAGGATGAAATCCTGACTCCATTGAAATTCATGGTAAAAATCCCACTGACTTCATTAGAGCTAGGATTTCACCTTCATTAGCAGCAAGAGTTGTTCATGCTTAAGCCTTAGACAAATTAGGCCCTGAGAGTCCTAAGTTAGAACCATTATTATTAAAACTCTTTGGTGAGCTAATGCTCTAAAATTCTAAACCTTCACCCCAGGCATCATATGCAAGATTGAGAGTTTCTCACGTTACATTGTAGTGTCAGATGGATGCTCATCACATATCCTCTTTGGAATGTTCCATGTCATGCTGAAAATGTTGCATGAAGTATTTGTTGATTTTTTCATCTTGTATGGTCACTACAATGATCTCAATAGCTACCCTAAGTATCCTGTGTTCTGCTTTGGGAGTTGACTACAACTGACTATCTGCATAATTCAGTTGCCCAAGTGAGTAATATCCTTTTAAGTGTGTAATTACATAGATGGTATGACCAGCAAGCATGAGTGTGTTCCCTTCTACCTCAAAAAATTAATTTCCAATGGAACAGCTCAACATATTCAAATTTTAAAAAAAGAAAAAAGGCTTCTTCCAGTGGCATTTGTTTATTGGCATTTCTCTGGCCCTTTCTCTTGATGCCCATAAATAAGAACGTCAAGAACAGGAGCTTAACTCTGAGGCTTCTAAAAAGTGGCCTGATTTTTTTTTCCTGGACTCATTTCTCATCACTTTTGAAAAGTAGGTCAAGTATGTTGGAGTCTAATTATGCATTAAAGGAACTAACTTTAGGCTTCTACATTTTTATTAAAGTACATGATCCAGTACAGCTTGAAAACTTCTCCAACAGTCTGATTGAATAGGCTATCTGATAATAGATATTAGGCATGTAGAAATATGCTTAACCTCTCCTTCCCCATGTTTTGTGAGAGAAAAAACCTACAGAACAATCTTGGAAAATGAAGTAGTGCTTAGGAGATGAACCTACTTAAGTCACAGTTGTATTGCAGACATGTAAGAGTACCTAATCATGGAGTAGAGGAACAAAGGAAGAAGCTGGCATGCTTTTATTAATACTAAGAAAAACATACCTCACAGATTTCTAGTAAACTGTGTGAACAACACTTGTCATGCTCAACACTAAGCTTTGTAACAGGTGTACAGCCTTAACTGTATGGTCTCAGCTTTCATGCACAAAGTATGAGGTAGTGAATTTCATTAAAAGGTTTTATAAATATTTGAAGAAGTTAAAGAGTCCTAGGGGCCAAATTAAGAAGCCTCAATTTACAGCAATTAGTTAGTAGAACAGCAGTCATCACAAGGAAAATCCTGTTTCCACCAGTGAAGTGACAAGTGGCAGAAAACTGAATTGCTGAGATTTCCAGTGTTTCAGGAAGTAAATGAGTATTACAAAGGCATTGGCTCAAACGTATCCTATTTTAATCCTATTATATTTAATGGCGGGGTGTGGGGTTAAGGGAATAGGCTTTGGGTGCCATTTGGGGCAGTCTTGTATCTTTTTCTCCATCCTGTCAGGGACAGCATGTACTATACCGCATTAATGCCTCTATTAGAATTCCAGATTAGGTAAGAAGATGAGATTTTCCACTCATCATTTCAATGTTGCTGTGCTGTATTCTCAGCTCTTTCCTCTCTCTATTACTGGGTAGTTTTCATCAGTGAGGAGAAAAAGTGAGAGTTCTTCATTCTTGACGCCTGGTTACCAATAGGGCACGTATGGGATGAGCTTCCTCCCTAGGTTATACTACAGCCACACTTCTACATGCCTGAAAATACAAATGAGCATTTACTGCAAGTTTTCAGTGGGAACTGAGTGTGACTAAAACATCTGAAGAGGTGCATATGCTCTCTCATGCCCCAAATATTACCCATGGGCACTATATTATCCTCAGTAAGTTAATTTTAATTATATGCATAACTGCTCTTCTGGTGGTTCATAGAGTCATATGCCTGGTTCTAAGGAGATCACTTTAAGGCTTCCTGGCATTTCTGGCTGCCTCTTTGTCTTTCATGATGGGTGGAAGGAGAGCTGGTCCAGTGGCTGGGGAATTAGTCTAAAGCTTGAAAGACCTTAGTTCAATTCTCTTCTTGCTGCAAGTTTCCTGTTTGACTTTGGCATGTCACTCAGTCTGTCAGTGCCTCCATTCCCCATCTATAAAATGAGTATAATTGCCATGCCTACTTCATGTGGGTGTCATAAAGATACAGAAATGGAACTCAGGTTGGCAACAAAAATTAAAGACAACAAAAAGTCCTTCTTTTGGTACGTAGGGAGTAAAATGGTGCATAGTAACATAGGACCCCTACAGGACAGGCTAGGGCAACTGGCAACAGATAAGAGGGACAATGCTAAGCTCCTAAATGAGTTCTTTGCATCTGTATTCCTGAACATGGATAAAGACATATCTCCCAAAGGGGCTATAGATAGGCACAAGAGGGACTCCAACCCACCAACAGTTAGCACTGACCTAGTGAAGGGGCATTTGGGGGGCTGGATGTGTTTAAGTCAGCAGGCCCTGATGATCTTCATCCAAGGGTGCTGAAAGAATTGGCCAGTGTCATAGCAGAACCACCGGAGCAGTTGTTTGAGCAGTCATGACACTCAGGATGGGTCCCAGAGGACTGGAAAAGGGCCAATGTGGTCCCTATTTTCAAGAAGGGGAGAAAGGATAATCCAGGTAACTAAAGGCCAGTTAACATCACCTGTATCCTTGGGAAAACCTTTGAAAAAATTATTAAGGATCACATTTGTGGGAGTCCAGTAGGAAAAATAATGCTGAAGGGCAACCAGCATGGCTTCATGGCAGGTAGATCCTGCCTGACTAACCTTGTTTCTTTTTACAAAGAGGTCACAGAATACTTAGATGCAGGAACTGAGGTAGATGTCAACTACTTGGATTTTAAAAAGGCTTTTGATACAGTGTCACATCCCATTCTTACAAATAAATTAAGCGGTTGTGATGTAGATTATTACACTGTCAGGTGGGTGGAGAATTGGCTTATGGGATGCACCCAGAGGGTGGTAGTGGACGGGTCATTTTTGACCTGGAAAAATGTAGGCAGTGGAGTTCCCCAAGGTTCGGTCTTTGGACCAGTGATATTCAATGTCTTCATCAGTGACTTGGATGAGGTTGTGGAAAACACTCTGTCCAAATTCGTGGATGACACCAAATTATGGGGCAAATACTGCCCCCACTGGAGGGCAGGGAGCGTATTCAGGCAGATTTGGACAGATTGGGAAAGTGGGCAGAACAGAATAGGATGCAGTTTAACAAAGATAAGTGCAAAGTGCTGCATCTAGGGAGAAAGAATCACCAACACATCTACAGACTGGGAGGTGACTTCCTAAGCAGCACAGCAGCAGAAAGGGATCTCGGACTCATAGTCGACTCCAAAATGAACATGAGTCATTCATGTAACAAAGCGATAAGTAAAGCCACTCTTTCATGCATTAGCAGGTCCATCACGAACAAGCCTAAGGAGGTGATACTTCCCCTCTATGCAGCATTGGAAAGACTGCAGCTGGAGTACTGCATCCACTTCTGGGCATCGCAGTTCAAGTGGGATGTGGATAACCTTGAGAGAGTCCAGACAGAGATGACCTGAGCAGGATGCAGGGCCTGGGGCAAATCAGCCTGTGCAGGGCCCTGCCCCTGGATGTGAGGAAGCCGGTGCAGATTCAGCGGCAGGGGGTGGGGGGTGCTGAGTGGCCAGACACACTGGATTTGGCAGCGGATTCAATGGCAAGGGGGGGGTGCCAAGCGTCCAGTGTGAGCCAGCGGGCACCATGGAGTCGCCACTCCACCCAGCTCTGTGCGACCCCCCAAAGCATGGGGCCCATGGCAGTTGCCCTGATTCTCCCCTCTAGGGACAGTCCTGGGTCCAGAGGAGGGCTGCTCATATGGTTAAGGGCCTGCAGGTAAAATCCTACAAGGAGAGACTGAGGGACCTGAATCTCTTCAGCCTTCGCAAAAGAAGGCTGAGAGGGGATCTTGTGGCTGTCTACAAATTCATCAGAGTGGGCGCAGCAAGGAATAGGGGATACTCTGTTTACCAGGGTGCCCCTTGGGGTTACTAGGAGCAATGGCCATAAACTGATGGAGAGCAGATTTAAATTAGACATTAGGAAAAATTAATTTACTGTGAGGGTTGCCAAAATCTGGAATGGGCTTCCAAGGGAGGTGGTGCTCTCCCCTACCTTGGAGGTCTTTAAGAGGAGACTAGACAAGCACCTACCTGGGGTCATCTGACCCCTTCACTCTTCTTGCCCAGGGCAGGGGGTCAGACTCAATGATCTACCAGACTGAATGATTTACTGAGGCCCCTTCCGACCCTAAAAATCTATGAAATCTATGTATTTGAAACTGAGATACACCTAGATAGTATGGTTTGGGGATGTTTAAATCCCTTTCTATGCAATGGTTATCTTCTAAATTTCTCTTCATTACACAAAACATATTTTTAAGAAAACCTCACAATGGGATTCTTCTGAAATTGGGGGGCAAGAATCTAAAAATTCACCTTTGTACAAAAATGTCTCTGTGTGGCTCTACATTCAACTTAACAGACTTATGCACTGAATATAATGGATGCTCTTGGGAGAAGCCAATACCTCAATGGGAAAGGACAGGCACTGGCTAAAATGTAAAAGTTAACCACAATCTCTTTTCTGAAAGCATGGAATCCAGGCATGTAAATCAAAACTGATCTAAAGCAGTGACCAGCACTTACTAAGCAGGCTTGCTGACCTTGATAGGATACAGGGGTCATATTTTTCACATGGATGAACTGGTCCTGAACTGCTTTTCCACTGAATTAGACAAAAAGAGGCTTTAAGTATGGATCTTTGCTTTTTGCTAAGCAAAATAGTTCTGATAGCATAAGTTTCCAGAAAGGACCAGAAGCAAGATGCATCCAAATCTATTAGAAAGCTTATTCTGTTCCCTAAGAAATTTCTGGCCCAGCTGCTCAATCTTAAAAGGTCTAGAACATAAGTATATAGATATATAATTGTTTTGGTTTGCATATTCAAAGTTTTGGGGGGTTTATCTTCTGTTTTGGCATTCATGTGTCCCCTTCATATTTAATAAACTGTATTTATCTTTACAATTCTCCTATTGCATAGATGAGGCACTGAGATATACAAAGACTATCAGAGTGAAGTTTGTCCCCATGTAGAGGGCAAGCAAAAGGTTTAAATGCCAGTCCTCTTATGGGTGATCCCAGTGGTGCATATGTTTTGGTGCTAAAGATAAATTTTACCCTACACAGAACCTGCCTACAGTCATATGGGAGGGGTAACAGAGATAGCAGCTGAAAGCAGAGCATCAGAGTTTAATGCTTTAACTACTAGGCAAGCCTTTTCTGTCATGTTTCATTTAATATGGTCTACCTATTTTATTAATTTTGGGAGGAAGGGACACAGCTTCCCCTAAATACATTACATTTATGATTAATGTGTTAATCACAGCATAAATGGCAAGGATCTATATGTGTACCCAATTGAATAAACCATAAAATGGCAAACCTGCCATAAAAATGTTCTACATATAATGCAGATTATTTTATGGCTGTTTAGTATAGAAACTTAAACTGAACATGTGACAGGACCAGCCCCAAGACTTACAATCAACAGATTGTTAGCCCCAGCTCCAGGCAGGCACCCGTCTTTGAACTTGCTGGTGCAACAGCAGCCTGGGAGGGTTAAGGTACTGTAAGGGTTAAGGTACTTATTTTGGATGCAGGGGGAGAGAGACAGATTCTAGTCCCTGTTCTAAGGACTGTTTAATATAAGCTTCATGACACCATTTTCAAGCTGACTTCTCATTTCTTGAAGGCCTACAGTGTACAGTGTTTCTGAAGGCAGGCAAGCTAGAGGAATGAGGACAGAATTAGCCTCTGCCTGTCACTGGACCATGTTTTGTTTCTAGTGTCAGTGCCTTGGCTTATATTAGTGACAGATGCACAATGGTTTTGTTCCCTCTGTTTTGGAAATGGAAGTGATTTCTCTCTGTCAAAATCAATCAGCATATCAGTTTTAATCAGATAAAGCTTTCAGTTTCTCCTATCTAAATTGCCCTTCCCATCGTGCATCACAATGCTTAAGACAAGCATCGGTATTCCAACACAAAATAAGTGTGCTGATATTTGATAGCTCATTTGAATGCAATGGCATTTACATCTAAGTTAGCTGGATTTTCATTTAAGACTAGTTATGGGTTCACATGGAAAATAAAAACAATACTTCTCTGTTTCTATTGCCATTCATGTCTACTTTTGTTTCATCCTAAAATAACACATTGCTAGAGGGTATTTTCTTAACACTGCCAAGCCTGAATGCAAGCCCTGTGGAAAATGTTTGTGTTGGGCTTGCCATGGTCCAAGCTAATAATGATGTGATGATGTATAGGTGAATTCCTGCTCCTCAAGTCCTCTGTGACACAGGGATTAGGACTGCCCTTATCTTCTAAGACATCTGGATGAGTGTCTGGGTTTTAATTTCACAATGAAATCACTGGGGACTAGAGTTATGTTATGTGCTTATGAACAAAGTGGAATATCCCTGGTAAGGGCAGGAATGGATTACCTTAGATAACTCTACTTAAACCAGGGAACATTTGAGAATGTTGAAGAAAGGAAAGAAGTCCCACCAATAAAAACAAACGTAGGCCTAAATTTGTGTTCCATGTACTAAAGTTCTTAAAGCACCCAGTGGGAGAAATATGACCACATGTAAATGGACTGATAAAGTTAAGGCAACTCCTGAAAGACCAGATCCATCTGTCCTATCAGCACTAAATCCTAATGGAGTACATAAATAATATGTAGACAGATTTATTTGAAAGGTGCCTTTTTAAGGCCAAACAACACTGATATAATAACCAAAAGAGTGTACGTGCATCCTAAAGTTAATTGAAAATGTTCTAGTGCAAGATGAATTTAGCTTCCAACATTTTCTTTAAAAAAAAAAAGACTTCTGTTTGAAAATGAAGTTTTCTATCTAATTATGACAATAAAAATGTTGGCCAAAAAGCCCATAGGATATCAGAAAGGGCTGAGTCCTTACCACTATGCCACAGCCACCAAAAAAGCTAAGAAACCCTGGGGTTAAGAGTGTCTATATTCTCTATGCACTGTCAAACATAAATCTCCGGTGGACATGGAGTACAGCTCTGGAGATTCAAGACTGACATTCCCTTTCTATTTCCCTAACTTTTAGCAGCTTCCTCATGCACAATTCATTTACTCAGTATTCAGGAATCAGTTCAAGGGGCCTGATCCTACACTTCATGACAAGAGGACAATGTGGTACAGTAAAGAGAGACAAGGTTCTAGTTCCAGTTCTTCTACTGACCCTGAACCTGCAAATCTATGCACACTTACCTTTATGCACAGGATAGTCGAGCTGAAGTTAATAGGGTAACTTGGCTGCATATGGGCCTAATGGTTTATAGTAGAAAGCCCATATCACTTCTTTGAGTTTTAGAGGTATTGAGCACTCACAGTTCTTACTGAAATCAGAGGAAAAAAATCCAACCATGAATAATTACATTAGTAGTAAAACTGGCAAAACAATACTTTTTATGTAATAACTACATACATATAAAACTGGTTTGCTCTATCAAGGTCTTCCCAACACCTTGGAAAACTAGTAAAACACATATAAAGATTATAAACCAAGAAAAATAATCCACAGGAGCAAGAAAACCAAAAAAAAATCTCCCATGAACAAACCACCAAAACCTCTGTCCTCAAGAAATGGCTAAACCTCTTCTTTAGCTAATAATAAGACAGACAATGCCAGCTATTCTTTTGAAAATTAGTAACAATAGGATGTGCTGTGGGATTCCAAAATTCCATGTTGTTATACTTTTCTCCCCTCCCCCTCATAGCTAATCTTAAGAGATGCGAAGAGTGATAATCTGGGCATAATGCAGCCTGTGGCAAAATTCCTATCTGAGGCTAGGATTTCACCCAATACATTTTTTTATAACAATCACAAAATAAAATATATTTTATCCTAAAATATAAAGTATTCTCTGTTTTTCTTCTTGGATTGGACAATATCATTAAAATAATGTACTTTTGCTTACAGACAAGTTGTTCTATTTAGGCTAATCGAGTCATGAACTGAGGCAGCAAGCTTTCTTTTTGATCCTTGGGAGTTCTAATCAGGAATAGATCTGACGTTCATGTGAGACTCTGTGAGTTAAGCAAGAAAAAGGGTATCAGTTTCTTTTGAGAATACTTCATTTGCTTAACAAGAAATCATAATATAGACCTTGTTGCCATTGTTTATAGTCTAGAAATAGGCAAGAAACAAGGCACACCGAACATTCTTTATTAACTCGTGTAACTACAGGCAACTGCGTGTAATATTTTAGGAGAGATGCACTTGCATGGAGCACCTCAGCCATTGCCCACTCACAAAAAATGCATGTGATATACAAAGCAATTATTAATTATGCCACTTGTATTAATTAACAGGGTAATGCTTCCAGTCTTTAGCTCTGGGCAGTAGGCAGGGAGAGTCTGCTGTTCAAGAATGGATGACTTGTAAAGTGCAGTACTGGGATATCCTTTAGGATCCCATCCTGTATAAATCTATGACTTAATAAATTATGAGTCATTAGAAATGGTTTGGGAGGTTTTTTGTTTGGGGGGGGTTGTTTTTGTTTTTTGATAAACGTTCAGCTGGTTTGATGAAACTAAGAATGTGTGCGTGCATGCACACATGTGCATGAGATGGCATGTACTTGTTTTCATAAAACTTCTGTGCTCCAGAATGGATTTACTAGTCAAGTCAAAGAGAGATTTACAAACCCCAGAACTGCTGATATGTTGGTAGTCACAGCATTTTCCTGGCACTCTCCTGGTTCAAATCTCTATCCTTCCTGCCTCTAGATCTAGACAGGGTCTCCCGCCTCAGAAGCAAGGCCCTGCTCATTTTGGCTGATCTCTTCACAAAGTTTTGGTTTCATCTTAATGCACATCAGAATAATTTTTTTTAATTTCAGTCTCTGGAACAGGAAAACAGTTTTTAACAGTTCTGGAACTAGAACTGAAATCAGCCAGAAACAAGTTAATGTTCAAATGGATAACACCTGGCTTTGACTAATGTATATAGAGGATTAAGAGCTTCATCCTGGATCACTGAAGCAGGGAGACGGGATGGTGTCTGTCTGCTGGGAGGCAAAGGGAATTGGAACTTTATAATTGAGATCATTTCAAACTATCCTGTCTTCTCCTATCTTTTTCTTTTCCCAAATCTCCTCCCACCATGACCGGCAGCTACCTCTACTGCTACTTTTTGATGCTATCCTCAGGCCAAAAAGCAGCAAGACAGGTCCTTTTGGGGGGTAAAGGCAAGAAGCACACTGTGTTCTGGTGCCCACAGTTTGAGACTAGAAGCTGAGACAAGCCCAGCAGGAAGTATGAGTGTTTTTCCTGTGCCAAAGGGGAGTAGGCGTGGGGAGTTGCATAACTGTAGATATTTGGCTTCCCTGAAGAATTACTCAAGGAACTACCACCTGAGTGTTGTGTGCGTCTCACAAGAACTTTGGAGAGATGATCCATACCTTCTGTGCTGCAGTAAGCTAAGCTGATTAAATTCTTTTCCAATGAAATGTTGAAGGCCTTGTTTGTGGGAAAGTACTGGAGGACTATCACCACATGAGTGGTTTATCTTTATGTATCTTGTCCCTACCAGTATCAAGAGAAAGCTTATAACTCTAGATAAGTGAGGGAGCCAGGATGAAAGTACTACTAAACTCAAGTCTGAGGTTTCAGTGTAGGGACAGGAGCTAGTGTAGGGATAGCACTTGGTTTGCTGCAAAGCCACCCCTTCAGTGGCCGCTAGAGACAAGAAGAATAGCTTCTCTCTATGGAGAACATAACAGGAATGACTAAGCAGGAAGGCAGGATAGAAAGGGCAAAGAAGAGGACTGTAACTGAAAACACGCAGACTCAGTGCAGCACAGGTAGAATGAGAGAACTTGTCCTGAGTGTTCAGATAATTACAAAATAAACATGCAAACTAAGGAAGATGATGCACACTGCTCCCTGTGACTGTACGGTTTCTCTCTCTCTCTCTCTCTCTCACAAGCTGTTTGGGGCCCAGCTATACTGAAAATCTACCATGTTGAGCAAACTTTATTTAAATCTTACAGGAGGTTTAAATAATTTAAGGAAGTACACGAGTCTCATTGACATCATTGGGTTTACTCACAGGAGTAAAAAGCTACAGGATTGCACTAACAACATCATAACATAGTGTAGCCCTAAACAGATATGACCCAGCCTGTTATAACCTGAGCAGGTCATTATCTTGTTACAACACAATTGCCTGACACCACACACTTTCTAGGCTGGTTTGCCTCTGCCGGGTATAATTTGCATTAAAAATTAGTTGTGTAAAGTTTAGTAATAATTTTAAGATAGAGAATCTTGAGACTCAAGAGGTGCCATTTTTAAAGTTTTCCCGGTGAAGGAAACTGTATAGGAAAATTGAAATATTTGTTTCAATAACATGTGGGTATGCTGCCTAATTTTCCTACTCTTTCCTCAAGCCACTTAAAAGCAAGAAGGGAAACAGTGAAAAACTTTATATAGGCCATCAAAAAAGAAAAAAAAAAAAACCCTGACTGCAAATGGTTCCAATTTGCCTTAGTAATTAAATCTACAGGAGTTAAGGGTTTTCAGCCAGGTCATTTGGTACTTTGGAATTTTACTACATACTTTGCAAAAAAAACAAACTGGTCAGAGACACCAGTGAGTGTAAAGAGTGGATGAACACTGCTAAACAAACTAAATGCTGAGCTCAAGTGGATCTAGAAATTACAAGTCAAAATTCTAAATATGGATCTGAGAGTAGTGGAAAAGGATTAGACATCTTTGTCACATGAAGAGCAAACCGGCATGCCAGCATGCCTTTTCAGTGCAAGAATCAACTGATCAAAGTAACATCTACCAGTTTGTAAATATGCTAATCTTTATGTTTACACAAAAGTGTCAGCACTTGCTTTACATCACAAAGGCTCATACAGTTGAAGATTAATTACTTCCAACACTGAGATAGTGTGTAAATACTGGTTTCACCAGAATCCTTCCTCCTGCTGTATTTGCACAGCTCAACTGAGGTGTGCATTGCTAGATAATTCAGACACTTACTAAGTGTCAGATCCCTTTAACTTTGTATAGATAAAGTTTTTGCAAGTATTTTTTTGGTGATCAGGTGGTGGAGGGATTGTGCAGGTTTAGACTCCGTGGTGTAAATGCCAGATAGAATTTATAAAAGGTGGCAAAAATATTTTCTCTTTCAATGTATTAGCAGCCCCTCCAAACCCGATTTTTGCCTACAGCTTTTACACTTGTATGTGATTGATTACAGTGTATTTAAAGCTACTTTTTCATTTCATTTAAGATTACTTATCAGCATTATAGTGTCTTAGGGTCAGCTCAAACAAGCTTTCATGTCTGGTTGCTAAATTCCCCATTTTAAATGTTATTTTAAGAGCAGGGCAAAAATTGTTCCAGTGATCTAAGACCACATCCTTCTCCTATGTGAGGAGTTTAGGAACCTGCATTATGTTACCAAAATAGGCTCTTCCCAAAGTGCCAATGTACTGATCTCAGTTGTCTGAGATCAACACATGTTTTATTCTGTTTCTGTGCTGCACCAAGGAAGGACAATAGGAAGAACTAGAAGGTAAGACCATTTCAGACAGAAGCCCTGGTCTTTAATATTTCTTTAACACATATGTATATATTAGTTTCCTTTATTTTTAATAAAAACAAAATCAAAAAAGATTGAAGACACTTATAGTTAATGGATCACTGATGATAAAAACATCAGGGCTCCTACAAGTGTGAATTTCCAGTTCTACACACCATTCATCTGTGCAGAAAGTGGGTGTCACTGTAAACCAAACTTTGTCAGTGGAGGGACACCAGTTACTCTGGGCACCATCCATTCTAACAGTGTGACATGTGAGATGGTACTGATTGCTAAATGCTAACATTAAAAGAACTGCTAGAGTAGTAAATTGGTAAACTGTGGAGTCTTAAAGGTGATGGAATTTGAGAATCTAAGGACAGGAATGGTTACAACACAAAATAATAAAGCAAAGTTAATAGTATTTCATAACAACATTCACTTTGCAAATAATCAGATCTTGCATTTCTTTTCCTATTTAAAACCCACCAATCACTTCACCAATGTACCATGACCAAAGTTATCCCTGATAATGGGTTGCCCTGAGGCACTCACCTAATCCAGTCTTAATTGCCAGTTATTTTTATCAGTAATACCCAAGTCCCCTCTCCCCTGCCTCCCTGTACATGCATGTGTGCACACGCGCGCGCACACACACACACACACACACACACACACACACACACACACACTTCTCTGACACAGTCAGGTACACACTACAGTCTTCCTGCCACTAGTACAGTGGTTCTCAACCTTTTTAGATTCAAGCTACCCCTCATTCCAATCAAGGCACCTATCAGAAAATTCCAGGTCTTGGTTTTCACTCATTTATTGACTGTGGAAAAATAATAAAGCAAAGAACTCAGAAAGACCACAACAGGTCCGAATGTTTGTAATGCTACATATTTCTATTTCAAATCTCTGGGTTTATCCTGTGAATTACGTTTGCACGTCTACCAGTGCTAACATTGTGTGGCACACCATTATACCCTTAAGAGGATCTTAAGAATGACTGCACTGGTAGATACTTCCAAGGAAAAGTGGCTCTCAGCTCTCAGAACTATGTGGAAATCAAGAAGGCTCCAAGCTTTCCAATTGCTGCTAGTGTAAATGTAGAAGAAATCTCACTTTACCACTGAGTTCAGGGTCACCAGTTCAGTCTTCAATGTAGATTTGTAACAGGCCACTTCACTCATTCAAGGAGATGCTTCTATAATATTCAGATGAAAAACTATGGCAAGTGTGGCTGAATCAACATGTTCAATCTCACATTTGCATATGGCAAAATCATCAGATTACTTGCTAATTACAGTGTATTGCTCTTAAATAGGTTCACAGTAATAACTGTAATAAAAAGACTAAGGACGCATTATTAGCATAGTTAATTATATGACCATTGGAGAGATTATTGATAGAGATGCAAAATAATGTTAAACAAGAAAGGTATGTTTGACATTGCTTAAGAGCAGCTTCGTTATTGCTTCACATC